TCTACCGGGAGCGCGGCTGCTTCGTCTGCCACCAGGCCGTCCGCATGCTGGAAGGTGCGGGCCCGCGGCCCTGTCCCTCGCACCCGCGCAGAACCCAGCCCGCCCCGTAACGCCTGTTCTCCCTTTGCTCCTTCCCAGGGGTTCGGCAGGCGCAGTGGCTGACCAAGACGAAGCTGGTGGAGGGTCTGCCCGCCGCGGTGCGCGGCATCGTTGACAGCCCGGCGTGCCAGCTGGAGGACCTCGAGGAGAGGGTGATGGGCGCGGTGTGGCGCGCCCGGATCTGGGACACGACGGAAGTCGCTCCCAGGAGAGAACGCTATTGGTAAGGCCTCGGTCTTTGGGCTTTGGCGTAAGCCGGGCGTCAAGCAGGTAACTTCAGAACCAGAGTTTCTAACGCTGCAAATAAAATTCATACATACGTTGTTGAGAGATTCACTTTACCTGCAAAGCCGTTAGACCCTTTGTATCAGGTTGGCGACTTGTAAAAGGAACAATACAACAGCCGAAAGCCCCAGTTCTGAACGTCAACAGTAGTACCAATGTAAGCACGCCCTCTGCCTTAGAGCTACTTTCAGGCCAAGGTCTGTGTTTCAACGCGAGATCCCCTCCTAGCTGATGCAGAATGTCAGTTTTTAAATAAGCGACAGTAAGCATTACCTCTGCCAACTGGGAACAGAGCTGGTGTGTGGGATATTAATCTGAAATCTGGGTTAGCTGTTTGGAAGTGTTACGCTATCATATGTTTTACATACAGTAATGTTACAGCATTCATGACCCAGAAGCATCTGCTCGCCATTATGATCACATTTTTTATGTAACTATTCTTTTTTTCCTCTTTCTAAAGCCCTGTACTGCTTGAAGACTTGATACATTTGTGTCGGTTAATGTGTGTGAAGTATCCTTCTCTGACTAAAAGAATGTTGGCCAGAAACTACAGGATAGCAGCTACGTGGGAAAGAGGTTAGTTGCTGCCGTGGTGGAAGCATTTAGCTGCTTTCCTTAGCATAAGAAGGGTAACAAAGCCGCTAGCTTTAAGGCTGGGGACTTGGAGAAGACGAAACAATTTCTGGAACCAAAGTTTTCAATAGTGCTGTAAGGATGGGCAGCCTTGGAAGATGGCAGGATACTTGCCCTGAGGAGATTTTTAGGGCTTTAGACAACATCAGCAAGATGGCAGGAGAAGAGAACCAGTGTCTTAGGACTGACTGTTTATTTTCCTGTGTCCAAAATCTGTACCGTTGTTTTTATGCGTATGTTTAGTTAAGAAACACTAGCAGTTAACTTTGGTGTTTTAGAAGAAGAACATACAGCTGAAGTACGCTGTAAGTTTAGTCTGGAGGTCAGGGGCAGAGCATGAGCCCTGCAGAACAAGGACTTGCTGGAATGCTGCTGTCTGAAAGGAATCGTACGTCTTTGCCCTATGTTATTTTGGCAGTGTGTGAGTGTAGCCTGATTTCCCTCCCCAGAATCCATTCTCCTTCAGGTCCGTGGCCTGAATGGAATACTTGTGAACTCTATGACCCCAATACCACCAGTAGCCTCCAAGGAGGAGATACTGGCCACCGAAGACCATGTTCTGGAGACTTTCTATCCCATCTCTCCTACGATTGATCTTCAGGAAGTGAATGTGTACAAAGAGCTCAACGACACGGGTAAATCTAGCCATTGATAACGGTTCTCTGTCAGACGAAGTGTTCAGGTGAACCTGGAGTCCTTGGCCTTCTGCGGGACAGCTGTGGGTGGGGGGTGGATGGGAAGGGGGGGCTGGGGGCCCGGGCACAGAGTGTGCAGTGCAGGTACTCCAACCTGCTGGGAGTGTATTGTGGGCTAAGCAGGACTCTGGAGAAGAGCGTAAATCCCGGCAGATTAACAGTTCCTGAAGAGAGGGGAGAAAACACTGGCTGTGTAGTCTCTTAACTGAGTGATTCCTGACGTGGCTGTCTGCCATTTAGGTTTTAAAGATGGTTACCCTTACTCTCATCCTCACACTCTGTTCTTTCTGGAATCGGCCAACATCCGTCCGCAGAGGTTCAGACCAGAACAGCTTCGTGCTAAAATGCTGATGTTTGCTTTCGGCAACGCGCTGGCGAAGGCGAAGGCGCTGTACGGGGTGCGTATTGCAGACCGCTGCCGACTCGCTGGGCCTGTGTTCCTTCCCTAAGGCTGCAGCTAGGGGGAAGGGTGATGACATTCCCTTGCTGTGGCACGTCGCAGTAGTTTTCAGATCTGAGCTTCCCAGTCCAGACGTCTGACTCTAACCTTCAGGTGCGGTTCTGCTAATCCAGAAGAAGACGTCTTGGCAGTGAGCGTGTTCGTGATGTAACATGCACTGGAGTGGCAGTGGGTAGGAACAAGGGAGTGGGTTCAGCTGTAAAACCCGAACCCATCCCACAGCTCAGTGTGTAAATTGATTCTTCATTGCTGGCTGAAGGAGGAATTCTAATTAAAAGACAAAATCTACATTCAGAACTTGTTTGACTAGAGTAATTTTCTGGGCAAGGTAACAATGCATTTATTAAAATCTTGGCCTTAAACCAAGTAGAAGGTGCAGAATCAGCAAGTACTCATACAATTTCTGTGGTAACTGGCTTTTTACACGTTCTTCCCCCCGCTCACTTCTTTCCTAGAATGATCCCAAGGTTTTGGAGCAGCCAATAGTGGTGCAAAGCATTGGCACGGATGGCCAGCTCTTCCAGTTCATGGTGTTCCAGCTAAACACAACAGACCTTGTCTCCAATGATGGCGTAAAAAATCTAGTGTGGATTGACTCTGATCACAACCTGTATGAAAAAGCCCAATATGTTCCAGAAGTGAAGAAGAGAGTTGTTACGGTAAGCAAAACTTGGGAAAAGGTCCTGAAAATCCGAGCCTTTCACCTCCGCTGGAGGTTTGAGCGCTGGCGTAGAGCTGCGGCGCGGGTTTTGAACCAGCTGAAGGGACCCGACGCGGGCGCTGGCCTCGCTCTTGGTCGGGTGGGGGTTTCCGACAGGGAGTGTCGGTAGTGCTGATGTGCCGCACGGGGCG